CGTAAGTACGTAGTGTACGTAGTACGTAGTAGTAGTAGTAGTAGTACGTAGTCGTAGAGTCGGTGTGTAGTGTGTGTAGTGTGTAGTGTGTCGTGTGTGTGTGTGTGTGTGTGTGTGTGTGTGTGTGTGTGTGTGTGTGTGTGTGTGTGTGTGTGTGTGTGTGTGTGTGTGTGTGTGTGTGTGTGTGTGTGTGTGTGTGTGTGTGTGTGTGTGTGTGTGTGTGTGGTAACAAGACACTGAACTGAAGCCACGAAGATACATTAAACAATCAGATGAGAGACATGTATTAAAACAAACCCTGGCTATACAAACAACTCCATAATGATTAAGCATGGGAAGATTTTCCAGGAAACAGAGGCACTCGACACTGTCCTGTTTGATTTGATTTGATTATAAATGGAACAAGGTATTGCTATTACCGCTAATTGAACACGTAATCTTTTCTATGTAAATGCAATATTCACCTTCTCATATGCACGTTGAATGCTTTATTGCTCACTGTAATAGTTCCTCTTCTCTGTACTGGCTGTAAGTAGATACCTTCTGTGAGCAATTTCAATTTAAGTGTTGGAGAACAATAAATATACGTTCTAATTTTGTGCAGAAATGCATTCAATCTGGCTGAAGATAATGTCTCACAGACAGTTGTTGAGCACCAAATCCCCACCCTTGTATGATTTGTTAAAGATGGATTGAACAAATGGGAATCTACCATTTAATTTTTAGGATTGTTTTTTCAAGACTTGTCACATATTTTTTATTTTAAACTCTTAAACAGTCTTTAAACAATTGGCTAATCAGTCGAAGAAAAGGAAAACAATTTTGATAATCGATACATTTGTATAGTTAAGTGTCATGCTTCTCAAATTTGAGAATGTGCTGCCATTCTTTTCTTTAAGTTATCTCTGGGTTTTAGACTGTTGGTCGGACGAGAGAGTATTTTGAAGACTTCACCCACACATAATGCAACATGATGACTTGTTTTCTAGACTCTCCCTGCCCTGCTCGGTAACAACATGTTCAAACTTCCTGCCTTCTGTTTGTTACTCAGACTCCCTTAAAAAGCCAAACCCTGAGATTACGCAATTCATGTCATATTTTCTCAGACTTTTTTCCTCAAAGCTCCCCAGAGCCAACATTATACAGCTGTTCTCAGAGGCTAAATAATGACCTATATAATGACATATACACTTGAAAAAACCATATTGTATGTATATTAACCAACCTCAGGCACCTAAAATAATGTTCTTTGGAGTTGTAATTAATAATGTCTTACACTAAATCTCAGTTTTTATTATCTGTAAAGTCCTATCATGATTAAAGTATTTTTGCGGTGTTTATCAAATAAACCTGCCTGAATACAGAAAAAAACATTAAAGTAGGTGCATTTGCTTAATCTCAACAAATTAAAATACTAAAGCTAACTGAACTTAAATCTGTCCCTTAATGATGATCTGCTTATCCACTCAGCCCAAAGTCTATTTGTCCTAGTTTATGACATAAATCTTTAAAAACAGGCCACACATTATATCATACAAATGTTTTCAGAGGCTTAGTTAATTCCTGCAACAGCTGGTTGGAAGCATTACATCATTTATACCCGAGTTTGAGGAGTTCTGGGACTTTTTTGGAGCAAAGGATTACACATTAATACACATTATTTAGCATGTATGGGAACAGCATGGTGTATGTGTCGTTGATTCACAAACAACTACAGTAGCTGTGTTCGAAGTGATAGTAATCAGTGAAGCTTAATGATGTTTTTTAACAGCAGCTCGAAAGCATTGATGAATAGGATAAATCAGGGTTTGGCTAACCAGGAAATGGGATCAATTCACTGTTGCCAATTTAAAAAGTATCTCAAAACAGATCCTTTCATATCAGATCAACAAGGATTTATAAATATGACTGCCATACCCTCTATCTACTGTATAAATAACATCGTTTCATGTCACTAACAGTCTCCTAAATCCTGATGTTATTCACCAGACAGAGCTACTCTCTGCTCAAAGGGACTAAACTCCCTGAAAGTCTGTTGCCGGTGTATATTGTAATGAAGAAGTGCAGAGAAAGAGCCCGAGCTGGCGTTTTACTGTAAGTAGACTTTAATTGGACTGTGCCTGAGGGACATTTTCTGTTTGTGTCTTTGTCTCCAGAACACGTCAACGTTCACGCTGGAGAGAGACGAAGTGGGCGAGGTCGTGATGGAGGACGGGCGCAGCCGCTGCCCCTTCAATCCAGAGTACAAATCCACCGCCATCATTGTTGGTATGAAACCACACACACATTTTTCTACATTTGTGTCACTTTAAACTTTTGCTGTGCGAGGAACAAGGTATTATTATGGGCTGTTTCCCAAGCTACTGTGGTGTAAACTACCACTTTGATGCAGTCATTGTGTGCCTGCTAATGTTGTTTGTCCGCGCTGGTTCTTCTGATAAATAGCCGGACACCAACAGGCGTTTGTGTTCAACTTCTTTGACGAGCAATTAGCGAATAATTGAGCTGCAAATGGAAGAAATTATTTCTGTAATCCCTCCCTTAGACCGCTCTCACTTTGCTCCAAGCTAATACTGACTTCATCTGTTACCGTTGAGAAGCCCCCAGCGCACCAATGCTTTGTAATTCATTATGTGTAATTAAAAGCAACATCAAGTTCTTAATTTCAAATCTTGCAATCGTTTCCTTTTTTTCTTCCAGATGGTGAGTTGTACACCGGTACTGTCAGCAACTTCCAAGGGAACGAGCCTGTCATTTACAAGAGTTTGGGCCAGGGAACCGCTCTGAAGACGGAGAACTCTTTAAAATGGCTGCAAGGTAAACCCCCATCAGATGGCAGACTGTACTCATCTTCTATTATGTACCCAACAGAGCAGATAAGCTCCAGAAAGTAGCGATCATTAGCGAGGCGCAGTGGCTAATGCAGACTGAGAGGCCCTATCAGTCGCAGCACATGTACTTCAAAACAGCCAGAGTGTTCACAGCTCTCTGAATACATTTTTCAGCGATACTAAAGCGTAGAAAGATTGTTTTCCTAGCGTGGATGATAACACGTGTTTCTTTTGTCTATTTTTAACAGATCCTGTCTTTGTCGGGTCGGCTTACATCGAGGAGAGTCAGCCGGTAGGCAACCCCGTAGGAGACGACGACAAGATTTACTTCTTCTTCAGCGAGGCGGGGAAGGAATTCGACTTCTTTGACAACACCATTGTGTCGCGGATTGCTCGCGTGTGTAAGGTAAGACACCTGGGGTTGGGGCCATTAAATAAGACAACCTCGCAAAAATAACAGGCACAGTACGGGCCTCATGCTTCCTCTCTCTAATCCCGGTACAATTACCTCCAAACAAGAAGGGACGCTCCCATGTCGGAGCACGTTTGGTCACATTTAGCCGTACGTCACGCCTGGAAAATATGTCACGGGTGCGCTAAATCCTTTTCTTTTTGACTGTGCAAACATGTTTTCAACAGATTTCCCCTTGCCTGAATCATCCTCTCCTCCTCAACACGCCACCCTCCCTCCCTTTTCCTCTGCAATGTCCACCCCCCCCCTCTCCTTCCATCTCCCTCACAATGTCAGCTGCACTCGTCCACTCCTCCAGCTCTTTGCCTTTCTCCACCAGCGCTTTGAGCTTTGCAGGCATTATTAGTATTCCAGGGTGCTTCGCAGCAATATGAAATGCTTTTTCCACTCTACTATATGGCCTGTTTTTGTTGCAGGAAAGGCATGCCAACTGTAGAACCTGCAGAATTCACTCGCATCATTTAAACTGCTGACGTCACCCCCTTCCTCCTCCTCTTCCTCCACAAGAGTTTAGTTTTGTTCGATCATCCTGAATAATCAGCAGCAGACTTTATCTCTTTTCACCTGAGAGTAGGGCTGCTCAATTCATCGTATTTTAATCTACGATGAATTACGATTATGGCTTTCAACGATTACGAAAAACAACGTAATCGAAATAAAACGATTATTTTTTTATTATTATTATTACTTTTTTTTTATATATATAATTTAAAAAAAAAAATTTTTTAAGTTGAATTATGCTTAAAGTTCAGGCTAATCAACTGTTAAAAACATACTGTTCATATTTTTTGTCTCCGAAAAATAAATNACAGGAAGAGACAAGACTAAATACAGGGAGGGGTAATCACAAGACGAGAAACAGCCGGGCAGGGGAGGAGAAACACAAGGGCCACAGGTGAACACAATCAGAGAACTAGACACACCAGGGAAACTAACGACAGGGGAAAAATACAGGAAGAAGGACCAAACAATAACCCAGGAGGAAAACATGACAGGGAGAACAGCAAAACACCCAAACCTAGACATAGAAACGTGACATGACATGAGAATCGTGACAGTTTGGACAGAGCCAGGCAGCTGTTTCGACCATTTCCAATCTTATGCTAAGCTAAGCTAAATGCCTGCTGGCTGTAACTTCATATCTATCATATAGAAATGGGAGAAAATGAATTAGCATATTTCCCAAGGTATTAAACTATTCCCCAAGCGATATAAAAAGGAGTAGAAAAGAAGGTTGAATTTTAATTATAGTACGCTTTCACATTGTTACATAACAGAAATACGTGTCAGTTCTATTTATGGATGAAGATTCTCCTTAATTAGGAGATGTTTTGGGTTATTGCCAGAGGAGGGAAGCATAATCATCCATTCCACAATATTAACTATCACATGAATAGACAATTCTGAAGAGATGAGATGGTGAGTGACCCGGGAAGTTGGCTTCGGCCTGATTTAGAAGATCTTCAATCTTTTCACTGACCGTGAAAACGGAACCTGCTTTTCAATTTCACTATCAACGAAGCGTCGCCATGAAATATGCAATGAAATACAGGCTGACTGTAATTGTTTTCGAGGCTGATGCAAACAAAAGGCTCTTTTCACAGCGCAGTGATTTGTTAATAATGAATAGCAAATTACCGTCTTTGCTCTTCATTAAATGCTCGGTGACAGTCGATGAGCGGCTTGTGTCGAAAGTAAATGGGATCTGTCACAGAGCGTTAAAAGAGAGAGAATACGTTAAGATTTAGCCAGATCCAGAAGAACAGAAAGAGAATAAAATGGGTTTGTGACAAAAGATAAACCTTTTGTTTGAATTAAACCTGAGTCAATGTCTCTGGGTCTCAACTGTATGCAAAGACCATGAGAGATTTCACACACATGGGCAATGTGTGAGGGAGGAGGCCTGTTGTTATTCCTGCTGGCAGCTGATCTCTGTCCCAGCAGGGGTGTTAGGACATCAATAAGGTGAGATGTATTCACAGTGCACTGTCCTGTCTCAGCAGAGTCTCCTGCAGAACATCTCGTCCATGTTAAGGCAGGTTTAGGGTCTGAGAACAGATGAATGTGGGTTCATGCTGTTGTTAAGGTGAGCTATAATTACATGTCCTGATGCAAGCACATAACGTCGAGACAGAGGACTCAGTGAAGGTGTTTGTGTTGTCGTTATACAATTTCCCGAGCTTGTTTTGGTACTCATCACTATTTCAGTAGATTATTGTGAATCTGTCATCAAAAACAACATGGAATTTGATCTTGATGTACAATTTGACAGTGCTGGCAGACAAGGTTGAGGTTTCAAGGTTACAATTAATTGATGGGGAAAGCGGTTTCTAGATCAGAGTTTAATATTTGGAGAATTTAGACTGATGTCAGAATGAAGGTCAAACATCTCTGAGCTGATCTTTATTAGACATAATTAGACCCCATTTATATTGTAAGGGCTTACTTGCTCTCAATTTGTTTTCATGCTACGGCTTGATTTGGTTTTATAAAGTTGGATTATTATGTAAAAGTCTATACCCGTGTATTAGTTTAACCTCTGACTGAAACTAGTTCATGTGTACAAATCCAAAGTCACACTAACCTCTGGAAAGACACCCTGTGCTGTACGCAGATCAAACAGTGTCATCATCCCTCTGTCCATACTGTGTAAACATCATTCAACACTGGACGCATCTACACAGTGTCTATAAATGGCTGAATGTATTGATTCCCACAGCTGACGTTTATGACAGGGCTGCCCTCTGAAACAGTGTTCAGCAAACTGAATGCTCTGTAACTGGGGTGAGAAGAGCTCAAGCCATCACTGTTATGTCGTGTGTCAGATAAATACATTCCCATACTGCATCCCGCATGGATGTGGAGGGACGTTTCAACTCGGCTGGCAGCCGGGCAGCATAACAATGAGCCACAGGGGGCACAAACTAAAATGAAGCAGCTGTAGACCATCAGCTAATGCAAGCACAACTTCACTATAGAGAGAAATGGAAATATAATTAAGTTCAAAATAAATAAATTCATCTAACATTTTTATATAACCTAATTTAGATGTACACACAGACTTTACAAATATTAAGAGCAGAAAATATATTTAATGAACTACTAAATTGTAGATAGATGTTCAGGCATGATTCAATTTGATTACAACTACAAAAATGCAATTGAGGTAATGGTAATGTAAAATAAATAAGATATTCAAATAAATAAACCATATATTTATTATTGTATTATTCATACAAATGAATGCATGTTTTGGTGCACTGTAAAGTGTTTATATACAATTGGTAAGATATCTATATACTCTTTTCACTTTTAAACATGCCTTATATGTAAAATGCAAGGACTTGGCTGCAAACTACAAATTAAAATACACTCACACTTTTTTCAAAACATGTATTTTATTCATTTATCTTAAAAAATTAAAATAAAGTGCTTTTTATGTACAATATAATAAAAACAACAGTCACAATCTCAATGATACAAAAAATACAGTTCACAATGTTATTTGTACACAACAAATAAAAAAGGAAATCATGCAGGCAAGACCACATTTGTCTAATAGTTATTCAGTCAACTAAGCTTATGTTGTTCAGTACGCTGAGGCAAAGCGCCGCCGTGTCTCAGGGCTGAGCCGATACGGAGGATTTGGAGCTGTGCTTGCATCTTACTGCAGCACAACATCGTGCAGCACAAATGATTAATTACTTCTATTGTGCCGTTACATTGTAGTATGACCGTTTGAACAAAATCCTAATATGGTGTTGCAATGGATTGCCTACTGAAGCGGCCTTCCTAGGAAAATACACCGCTGTAGATGCTCTACAAAACATGTTATAGTTGGCTACATTCATGTCCAGTACAGTATGTTGCATTACTGAGGAGCCACTCAAAATGAAGCATCATTACGGTAGAGGATTAGGGCCACATTATTTATTTTTTTGGGAGGATTTTAAAAAAATATGTTTTTTTTTGTTCTGAGATTAAAGTCAGAATTCTGACTTTAATCTCATAATTCTGACTTTTTCCTCAGAATTCTGACTTTTTTCTCAGAAGAGTCAGAATTCTGAGATTAAAGTCAGAATTCTGACTTTTTTCTCAGAACAAAAAAAAATAAAATTTTGGGAGAAAAAAAATTCTGACTTTTTCCTCAGAATTCTGACTTTAATCTCTCAGAATTCTGAGATTAAAGTCAGAATTCTGAGATTAAAGTCAGAATTCTGAGGAAAAAGTCAGAATTTTTTTTTCTCCCAAAAAAAACGTTTTCTTTTCAAATCCTCCCAAAAAAAAAAATCATGTGGCCCTAATCCTCTTCCGTACATCATTCACCAGGTTATTATTGACTTTTTTTGTGAAAAGCTTGTCATTAATAAATATGCATTCATGACACATTATTTACTTTTTTGGTATTAGGTCAAATAGTATAATTCTTAAATATTGACCTCTACAGAAAGATGTTTCCTATGTGCACAGTATAACGTCTGACAAAGCGCAGAATAGTACAACATTTTGAGCAGCTCCAGGTCCTATAGTTTGCAGGTAATGATGGCATGTAAAATCTACTGTTGACCCGTGTAGTGTTGTTGAGTTAAGTGTGCCCACGGAGGGCTACAATCACGGCCTTCACCACATCTCCGGTGGTGAGGTCACTGCTGGGTAGAGCTCGATGTGGCACGTGGCTAAAGGCAGAGCAACTTCATCTAAAGGCATTTTGAAAATATGCAGTGAGGTTATCCACCAAGCATCTGAAAGCAGGGTTTTCTGTCTCCAGAGAAACGTTATACAGCTCAGAGAATCTGATTTAGCAGTGATGTCAAACAATGCTCTGGGCCAAGGCTCTTAGAGGCTGATATTATTGTTATGCATCTGTTGGAAAAGGCTTTACTCTTGTTTATTTGGTTAGCCTCAGCTAAAAAGATTAAAGGAGAAGGTAGAATGTTTGAGAAATACATGCATTTGTTTGTTTTGCAGAGTAAGATGAGAAGATAGACACAACTGATGTCTTTATGGTGAATATAAGCCAACAGGCTCAGTGGAAAGACTAGATAGAACATTTAGGAAATATGCATACCAGCCACTCTAAAATGTACCTTGTGTTTGTCACTGCAAAACTGTGAGAAAGTGGGGCTTTGAGGTTTTACGGAGAGTTATCTGCCGGGCTAGTTCCTGGCAGTGAGGAGTGACGTTGTGTTGAGGTTTTCTGGCAACCTCAACACAACGTCTGGGTGTTACTTAACAGTTTTTTTAACTTTTGGACAGAGCCATGGTAGCTCGTTTTCTAATTTTCATTCTGTATGCTAAGTTAAGCTAAGGTTAGCATCTATCTTCTCATCTGACTCTCAGCAAAAAAGTGAATGCTGCTCATCCTACTATATCACACTACACCTCTAATTGAGTTTGACAAATATAAACAGATACTCCTCCTGCTTTGACATGCTTGATGAAAACCAGCCCAAGTGCTGATCTAACAGCATGGTAAGAAATGTACTGTCTTGTGTGCAAGATTGGAAATGTTTGCTGAAGTAGGCAGTAAAGCACTATGAAAACAAAATATCAGCAGTGTTCACTCTCTAGTTTAAAGACTATCTCTACAACACATCTTGCACAAGGTCCCTTGAAAAACACACAATATTAAGCACAGATACTGTATATACACAACAAAATCGAACGAAAAGGAAACACTGACCGCTGTTGCGCAGTATGCTGTGCAATTACTTTGTCAACTTGTAGCAGTTACATAACACTTCGTCATCTGCTCAGTGTTGTTCATAGCAAAAAGGTTTATTCTGTTTGATACTGGAATATATACTGTAGGCTTACTTGATCAATACAGTGAATTGGCGATGTATTCTAAGACATGTGGTGCCATATCGTCTCTATGGCCGTGTAAATGTTTCTCTTTCAGATTTACACAACACAATCAGCATCCTACATCTTTGGGAAATTCTGCTTGTTAAGTCTCAAAAGTCCAAGCTATGTGGGTGCAATGTGTTCGTCGTCATGGCTGCACTGGTCCCTGTGATTTCTACTAATCATTTTCCTCAGCAGCTACACCTCATGTCTCTCAGTAGAGAACGCTCTGATTTTATTGACATGTGCAAACCTGTAGGTATTCAAGACCCTGATTACTTGTGCTTTCACATTACCATCGCAATGACATCTGACTGAGTGCGGGGAACGCCATGTATGTTAGAGATGTAACCTGCTGGGGAGGCGGGGGGGGGTATATTGAGCCTATACAGCGCTCTGTGCAACTACGTCACTACATAGTGCAGCTGCAGTGTGGAAAAGATAACATGAAATATCATCCCTTCACTACGGAGACAGTTATTAATAGTTGTTCATTTTGAGTTATTGGCGCTTAGATGAACAGTTTGTGTTTCTAGCGCTCGTCAAACTAGTTGTACCTGTATGTTTCAGTGTATAGTAAGAAGGCAAATAAGTCCTTTGAGGGTAGCTAAAGGAAAAACTGGAATATTTTCTCACCTGACGAAACCTTCCTCCTTTGGCCCCAGTTCAGATTCTCCGTGAACGTCAATTATTTTTGCTCAACACAGTCTGAAAAGTTCGTCATGAGCTAACAGTCTTCGAGAAATGTCCATCTGTGCACTTCACATTTGTTTATTATTAGTGCCGCTTTTTGTGAAACCCACTTCTGGTTCCTCCACCATGTGCTCTTCGACAGTGATCAATGCTAACGCAAAGCATGGAGTGGTCATAACAGAATGGCACTATTGCATTAGATAAGACAATCAAGTTGTTTTTTTGGCACAGTGCACATGATGATTTTTGCTGCTGCCCTGAAGATGGAGGGGATGTGGACGTTCCTTTTTTTCTTTTCTTGGATCTCTGTGCTTGTAAAGTCCGCCTTGACTGACGTAACAATGTCAGGTCTCTTTTCCATATTTATTTTAAGAGGCCATCAGGTTAATACTGAAGAACATGGCTGCCTCAGAGATGTCCATGGTCCATGGTGGGGTGATGTGTGAATGATCCTTTGAACAACAACATACATTCAGGAGGTAAATGTCAGTATTCAGGCCCTGGAGCATAACTTATGATCATCCTTCTTTTAGTTATAGTCCTTTTAATGTTTTTTCCAAGAGCATGTGGCGTCTTCTCCTGATCAGCCTCATCATCTTGATCCTCATACACTCGTGGCATTTATTCAGCAAAAAGGGAACACGTGCTCTTGACTTCCATAACGATGGATCATAAATGAATATGCAAAAGATGTTATATTCTCCTAAACCTGAACTCTTGGTGACCATGTAGCTGTAGCTTGGTTCTAGTGTGCATAATAACAGAAGTACATCTTCTGCAGGGCATGTGTTACAGGTACTTAAATAAGGCTGGGAAACCTATCAATATTCATAAATTATTTGTCATTTAATGGACATCAAGTAGACATTTTAATGCTGGATCTTGCATACATTAAGTAATATGGTGATACATATTGATATCAGAAGAAGGTCTTCTAGTTACTCTGGTGTTTTTCTTCCTCATATTGCCCAGCCTCACACACATCAGTGGCCGTGAGAATGACAAAGAGTTATATTCTGAGCAGCTGCCATGACTGTTGATCCTGGGCCTGCCTTATGCATCGCACCAGACCAACCTCTGGCTTGGGAGTGGAAATGGTTAAAGAAATGACCTCCGCATTGATCACAGAACAAAAGATGACTGAAATAAAGGATGTGCTGTGATGTAGAGGGATGTCAGGGTCTCCTCTCCTTTGCTCGGCGGCCTATATCCCTCATGGAGATACAGGGGGGCAACTTTTTTTTTAGCGAACACTGTGCTCTCATACGATAGAGTCTTTGATCTCGGAGCCTAGCCTCACTCTGGGCCGGGGGCAGGTCGGGGAATACTCCACGTGGCTCTCCTTCACATTGAGCGGCCGCCTGTCGGAGGCCTCGGAGAAGCTCTTGCTGTTGTCGGGCGAGGACTCGTGCGTGGGCGTGCTGCAGATGTAGTTGTCGTTTAACGTCTGGTAGCCCTTGTGATCAGAAGTGGAAACGGGGATGGTGCTACCGTTTAGGGGTAAGCTCTCAGCGGGCTTTCCCACAATCCTCGGCTTCTTCTGCTGCATGTTAGGGCACTCGCCTTGCTTCAGCATGGACTTCATGTGGTCTCGGTTCCTGTAGATGACGAACAGGGAGAAGACCACGAGGGAGAAGGCCAGCAGGCCGCACACCACGATCAGCTCGTTCCAGTACGTCTTGGTGTGGAGGACCTGCCCCGAGCGAGCCTCGCCCGGCAGGATGATGCTCTCCTCTTGCTCAATGTGCGGTGTGCGCGAGTGACCAATCAGAGTGGTGCTCTCCTGGCGAGGCTCCGCCCTCACACAGTAGTTGGCCAACAGCTGGCGGAAACCCTCCTCTTCGGACCAGCACTCGTAGGTCTCCACCCTGTCGGCCTGCGCCACCACCACCAGGTTTCCCTCTGGAGTGGCGTACAGGAACTGGCTGGCCGCGTCACTGTAGCTCCACCTCCTCTGCGCCAGGTTGGACCGCGACTTACAGGGCAGGACTTTGAAAGTGTTGATTGGGAGTGTGATGAGCTTGCATTGGGAGCCACCTATAAATACGTATGAAAAAAGGAGACAATATAGCTTTAAATGACCTAAAGTTTCAGTTCATTAAACCGTAAGGAACAGTTCAAATCTTGACCCTTTTCACATTTGTCCATTTAAAGGCTAGAGCCAAAACAGCGTTACAAGTCTTGCTCGGTCCAGAGGTAACACAACCTGCCTACTAGCACCTTTAAAGCTCACAAATAAACATGTTGTACTTTGTTTAACATCAAATCTTACCACCTGGGGTACCGGCAGTTTTAAAAGATGGAACTATTTATTGAGTTTATATTTCCCATAGGTGCTAATTAAAAATATCACACACTATCAGGGGAGGTAGAGCACTCTGTCAGTCATTTTAAAGGAGGCAGACTCAAATACAGCAGTCACAGATTTCCTCATGTGCCCGGCCTATTTTTGTTTTATAAAATAACAAATAAACACATTTTCCTCATAAAGAATCTGTGTGTTATTTTTTTTTAGATGAGAGAGAAAGAGATTTTTGTGGATAAGGAATTATTTACTGTATTAAACAGTATATATATGACTGCATATTAAGATGATGATTCAAGTGAATAGTTACACCGAGAAGTGTTTGCTTTTACCTGCACTCATACAAATAAGCTAATATTTGTGTTGTTGTGGTGTCCAGTAGGTAAAAACACTTTAATTACAGAGCACTACACAAAGAGCGCCCACTCACGAGAAGCGGCTGGTCGGGCAGCTCTGGCGCTGGGGATCGTCCGGTTACAGATCGCTGATGTGTCCGCCTCCTCCACATCCTGCTGCCAGTGACTGAGACAACACACACCACAAAAACAACAGTGTGAGGGATGGCAGCTGTAATGAGAGGAACCTGCTGCAGTTGTTTAACCCTCTGTAAGTCTGTCATTGTTTCACCTGAAGTACAGCTCCATCAGCATGACGAAGAAAACAATCTTCTTTTAAAAGCTTGCTTGTCAACAAAATCAATAGGAACTTTGCATGCATTTTCTAACCTGAAAAGGAGGTTTTAATACTTGTTCTTAAAAATGTGTCAATGTGAATGTTGACAGAGGAAAAAAAGCTTTTCCAAATATTCCTCAATTTGGAACCAAATGCCATTGAAATGTCAACGCCTGAATGCAGTGCACTGGTGAAAGGCAAGGAAGTTGAATTTATAACTTGCAACTAAATCACCTAAAGAAATAAACAACTAGAATACCTTTCTAGAAAAGATGGATGTACTCTCAAAGCTGGAAGTTGAAATGAATTGACTTCAAAGCAGAGATGAGTACTAACAATCTTCACTTTAAAGGTCACCTATCATGCTATTTTTAGGCAATAGCATAGGTCTCAGATATATACAAATATATAAAAAACATGTCTATGAAGTGTTTTGCTCAGGAAAATAGCCCAAAGCAGATCTGTCAGCCCCATAAAGCTATTGTGATGAGCAATGAGAACACTGAGGTGCTGGCTCCATCGCAGGGTCTGAGATTCTGCCGACAGATCTCTGGGCGGTGGATGAAACACCATATCATGGATTATCAAGCATTCTTTCTGAAACAGTATGGAGCTCAAAGGCTTTCTCTCTTGCCGGTTATACCACAAGGTGAGTTCCTTTTTATTTCCTGCTTCTTCACACACATGCTCTCCAGTACAGGTTAGCTCTGAGTGTTAGCGATGCTAATGTGAACACACCGACCATATTACGTCCAAAACAGTCGGGCATTGTTTCTGATAGCAACTTTCTGATTGGGCCGTGGGCGTAAAGCCAGCATACATTTCCGATAATACGCCATATCGGACGCAAATCTTGATCAGCTCCGTTGTAGCCCCGTTTTTAGATTTGGGTACGGAGGAAAAGAGAGAGGGTTTTATTTTCTGACGCTGCGTGAGTTCCCTGACTCACCGGGGACACATATTTATGTATAAAAGACATCAAAAAGTACATTTTGCATTCTAGGTTCCCTTTAAGTAAAAGCGCAAATGCTCCTATGAAAAGTAAAAATTCAAAGAAAAGCACCTGGTCTATAAACTACTCAAAGTAAAAGATACTTTTTGTTTTAATACAGAGGGCCAGATACATTTAGAAGTCTATTTCAGGCAAGATAAGTCAAGTCTGGAGTCCTTGGTCAAGTCTAAATCTATTAGAGTGCCATAATGGAGGAATACACAAACAATGAGCAAAGGAAGATGGAAAAAATCTGTGTCTGTGTGTGAGCGCTCACCTGTCAGGTGGAGCCATCCTGACGTCCCGGCACAGCCGCCCGGTCCAGGCGCAGTATGGGTCTCGGGACAACACACACTCTCCACAGCTCAGGTAGTTGGAGCAGTTTGCCACAGGAACCTCCACCAGCCCAGAGTTTGACGACACAAACAACAGACCCTGCGGATGAGACAAACACATGTGATACTCATTCCTCATCACAAAGGTTAAAGGGCTGAACAGAGCGTATGCTTTGGGTTACTTATCCTGATTTCAAAAGGACAAACCATGCCAAAATAATTACTCAAGACAAACAGAAGAATAAAACCTAAACAAAGTACTAACTCTGGCCAGCTGTTCTCTTACTTGATGCCAGCCAAGTCATTTGATTGTGATCAAAAACATATGGCAGCGGTGCTCAAGTGGTCTCTACAGAGCATTGTCATTTACTTCATTATATCAACCTCACTTTTAACTCATTATGTATCATTGTGCTGAAGGGCTATTATCCAGAAATGCATTTGCTCCATGAACGTGATGCTGACATACATTACACCACCCTGTTCCCAAAACGGCAGACTATATTTAGGCTATGTTATCTACCAGTATATAAGATATACATCATGTGGATCACGTCTGTCCCTCATATCCCTATTTGGAGCTAAGAATATACTCACAAAAGTATCTTGGACTATATTAGAATTACATAATCTTAGATAAGATTGCTGTTTGGCTGCCATTATGTAATAAAAGAGAGAAAGGTAATGAAATGCAGCTCCGGGGAAAATGCCAGGGAGGATCAGAAACTAAGAACTCGCTACAGCTTCCAGGAAAACTCAATGGACCGGCCGCTGTGGAAAGAAAATTCCTGTAGCCAGCTCCGGTAAATCCAGCTCCTCCGCAATTTTATTACTTGAGAGTTTACGTGTAGAAAAGGTAAACAGAACATTAAAAATGAACTGACACAAACCAGTATGACAACAATGATTATAGATTAGTATTAGGAGGTGAGATTTACCCTCTGAGGATCGAGTTCGATGTGTTGCACAGGCTGAGGCTCAGGAAACAGAATCATCTCCTCTATGATGTGCATTTTATCGTTGGCATTGATGGCTTTATGGAGCTTTCCATCATCTGGGAGACACAGGGGACAAGTAGAAGAGACTTATACTGTAGGCAGGGGACAGCTTGAAGGGGAAGGAAGCCATTTTCTACTGTTGTGAAATCACAGTTTAAGTTTGAGCATACTGGGAGAATACCTTGTCATGTTATTTTTCTTTTTGATGATTTAAGGAAAGACCCACAAATAATAAATAAGTAGTTGTGTAATGAGCCGCACCTGTTCCGATGAAGAGCACGTCGTAGGCCCTCTCCATGCCTTGGATCTTGTGCACGGCGATCTGTGTGTAGCGGACGTTGCGTTTCAGCAGCAGGGGGGCGCTGCGGATCACACTGTCCATCAGGAAATGGTCCTTGACGAAGTTTAGTACTTTGTCGGGCATGTGCAAGGACGACTGGATACCCATTTGCCTGGCGTGGTTGGTTACACACTGTAAGGGAGGAAATTAGAAATGAAATATGAATTATGAATTCCAGGTTTACTGCTTATCCCAGTAGACCTAGAAGTATAAATCACGAGACAAGATAGTGTCTGGTTTTACTTATGAAGTACATTAAGATTGGAGTGAGGTATCATTGGAAACAAAGAATAGATACATGGTTTTGTACGATAGCAGACCTTGAAACTGCTGCATTGACTAAGATAAGCTTGTCAACGTGTTTTTCTAAGCAAATATCTACTAGTTTGAAGCTTTTAGGCATTTGTTTTGCCCCAGGAACTTATGAAGAGTTAACTGTCAGCAAGAAGGCAGATTTGGAAAATTAAAGGAGAACATCTGCTTTAAATCAACCCGTTGAACAGCCCTCCGTAACAACCAGAAATGTTTTGTTGGAGACTGCAGCATACATTTTTTGCAAATGTGATAACAAAATAGATATTTGACACGGTAAACATGTGACTCAATAGAATCTGATGCTAGTTGAAAGATCAAATGCACAGACTGAACCAAAAGAAGCTGAATTGCATGTTTTTCACAGGGTATTTCGTGCTCCACTCACCGCCCCGGGCCGTGGTTCTGGCACTGGATGGTTGTAGGTGTACCACTGCTGTGTCTCCCTGTTGACCTCTCGGTAGCGCCCGCTGAAGGCTCTCTCCACCTGGGCCATGGTGAAAGCACACACTGCCGAGCTGCCTGATGCTCCTTTATACCTGTGGCAACATAAGACATGTATTTTACTTCTGTTTCAATGCAACCCTTTTTATTCACCGAATCCCTGCTTTCTGCAGTTGTCATTCTTTACCTGGCAGCTAGAGTGGGCACTTGAATGATTCCCGTATTACAACCTTTATTTTGTTGATACATTAATTAGACATTGGGGTTGCATGGGCTTGTGTTTGAGCTTCTTACAGCTGCTCGAAATTCAGAGGAGCCAAGTTGGAAAAAGGCAACTAGCCAAGTTTCCGTGCAGATATCAAATCAAATCTGGCTCAACATGGTGTGTGTGAGCTGTATCTGTGTGTTTGTGTATAAACATAAACGGTGACAGCTCCATAACTCAGATTCATCACATGTATGTCAACGTTAAGGGATCCTCCTCTCGTTTCTTACCACTGGGAGGTGAAGACGCCATAGAAGACGGTGCTCTCCCAGCTGTCTCCCATGGGCTTCAGGACAAACATGTCCTGGATGATGTTGAAGGGGAAGCCGTCGTCCGGGAGGGAGCAGAGGAGCTGGGCCTTCAGGAAGGTCGTCCATTTCTTCTGCAGCACTCGCTCGCCGCCTCTATCACCCTGCAGACAGATCAAGTGTGTTATAGTATGTAACAGAAGACTTTATGTAAAAACAAAGAAGAAGGCTCAAGGAACAAAAACATCTTAGTTTTAAGGCGAGACACTTTCTCCATTCAGCAGATTGATGATGAAACATTCGAGCGTCAAACTCTTCTCATACGTACTTAAGCTAGACTTAAAGGGGACCTATCATGCAAAATGCACTTTTGTACGTCTTGTATACATGAATATGTGTCCCCGGTGTTCCAGGGAACTCACCAAGTGTCAGAAAACACAACCCTCTCTATTTTCCTCCATACCCAAATCTCTTAAAAAGGGGCTGCAACGGATCTGATACAGACTGATCCAGATTTGAACACTTCTATGACGTCACAGAAGTGGCGCTACGGCTATTGGGCCAACTCCACCAATCACATGGACACGGACATTGCCGTTGGAAAGCGCTGGAGACGCTGTAGTACATATACCAGGCCTGTAGGTGGTGCTGTTCTCACAGAATCAGCCCATGCAAAGACAGTGTTAAATTGAGCGAAATGAGGAATGGCTAAAATGCACGATCTGTTTGGTATTTTGAAAAATAAAAAGTATAAATATGCCTTATATAGGTATGGTCCTACACTATATTATTCAAAAATAGCATGATAGGTCCACTTTAAACATCCCAAAGAAATCTGTCAATAAGCAAACTTATGTTTTAGTGGAGCAGGATTAGATATGGTGTATTTATCTAGCAGTTAGAGGGGTTAGAAAAGACCTGCAGATGCAATCCCTCGTCTCTGCTTCAGATGGTGCTGTTGTGATCAAATAAGGAAGTCAGAAAGTGATATTGGGGCAGCAAAGACCCTTTTTGGGGAAATAAACCGGACAAATAAAAACCAGGACTTTTAATGCAGCTCCCAGTATTTCAATCCTTTCCTGTGGTGTTGCATTTGTACCAAACTACAAAAGGACATTTCCCCATAAAATGTGGGAAATAAAAGCTTAAATGAAAAAAGGATGCCTTAGCACTCTTTGAAGTAGAGGAGGCAGTGAAATGGAAAACAAACAATGGTTAGTTATTAATTACAGCTTTGAAATCAGCATCAGTGGTTCTCTCCTCTGTTCTCCTCCGGGAAACAGAGGAGGCATTCACTCCTTTTAAGCTGTCACTAAAAATAAAGATAAACAGTTATCAGACTGCTCTGCTTGGACTGGCAATTATCAAAGATCTGTAAACACACACCGAAAGAAACTCCTCCCAAGTACAGCTCGCAAGCTGAAAAACACGGGAGGAGGAGGTGGAAGAGCATGTGGTCTCGCCCAATCTCAAGACAGTTTCCTGCCTCAGATCCAAAACACCACCAGAAGGAACTCCTTATAACAGGAGAGAATGACCCGTGAGGAGACGATACAACTCAAAACTATCAGTGGTGTAATGAAGTGAAGTACATTTACTCAAGTATTGTATTTAAGTACGATTTTGGAGTACTTGTACTTTGCTTGACGATACTTTATACTTCTCCAATGTTGTACTTTTTACTCCACTACATATATTTGACAACATTAGTTACTAGTTAGTTTAAAGATTCAGCTTATTGGCTAAAACGAAATACAAACAAACTAATAAATAAACTATGATATACAGTATAACTATAGGTTAGAGATATTGAGCGCTAGTATGTAAATTACTTAAATTAGCTCCACCTTTACCAGCTGTGATGAACACATTACTATTATGCAAAATCCCCTTGTTCCTGTCTTTTCTACATCAACATGTGTCCCCTCTGTGTAAAGAGACTCTGGAAGCTTCAGGAAAAAAGATTCTCTCTCTTTTTGTCCTGATCCATTTATATAAAAACATGTCTGAAAATGAGCTGATCAGATTTTGGCCACTTTGTGACGTCATAAAGTTTTGTTGTCTTGTGTAACCATTAGCCAATCACCAACCAAGGTAACCCACCCCCCCCTCCCCCCCCTTATCATCTGAATCTCCTCCTAGAGCAGGGGTTCCCAAAGTAGGGGTCGCGAGATGATTACAAAATAAAAATGGAAAATAAAAAAAATAAAAATTATTATTAATAATAACGTTTGCATAGACATTTTCAGGGGCGGACTAGCCATAAAAAACACTCATGGATGACAATGACACTCCGCGAGAGTGCGGAAAACTGAAATTAATTCACTAGCACCCCGGCTCAGATGATTGGTCGTGCTTTTTACAGCGCTACGGCTACCACAGATGGATCTTTTGTCAAAGCACTTCAGATATTCATTGCTATCGGGATGTTAAGAGCATTCCATGGAATATAACTAAAAGTGTATCTCGAGCCGGTTTCTCAAACTTACCTACCCCACCTTTAAGTTGTTTCCATAACAATACTTTTGTACTTTTACTTAAGATTTCAAATGGGCCTTTTACTTGTAACAGAGTATTTTTACACTGTAGTATTTCTACTTTTACTTAAGTGAAATAGCCGAAATATCATCAGCACGAGTCTACAAAACAACTCCTCCATGACAGCACAGAAGTGAATGACCCGTGAGGAAATGAAAAACATGCTAAAACTATAACTCTCCCTGTTTTCTCCTCTGTGTTGTTACACATAAACGATCTTGTTGCTCAACGCTGAGGTGAAAGCTCGTGGGGCCGATAGATGCACGGCCTGAGAGCCAATTACTAGTCTGTGGTAGTAGCCCTTCCTCATAATGAGGAGACCACATTCCTGCTCTCAGCTGTCCTCTGCGCAGCTACTCTCAATCGCATCGACCACACCCCCGATAGCTTCTCTACAAAAACACAGTCGCTATTTTGTTCTGCATTACACCTCTCTTATATTTGATCTGCATTCAAGCATTACAGATTCCTTATAGATGAAAAGAAGGTAAAGAAAGTAGTGCCACACTGCGTTGATAATCTGCTTGCTTTCCTCAGTCAGTGTGCACACCTGAATAAACAAAAGAAAGAGGGAGCAGAAGAAGGGAGGGGGACAGATAGGAAAGAGGGGGAGAAAAAACTACTTCGGAAGCAGAATTACTCGGAAAACCCAAGTTAAACATTAGTGAGGCCAGCAGGAGGAAACTGAAATGCCTTTGATATCTCACGAGAGAAACATGGCTTCTTTAAAACGTCTGGCAAGATGAACATATTCAAAATATTACAGATATCAAAATAAAAGCACATTAACATGTTTGGCCTTAGGGTATGTAAACAGAGAGCATGCTTTCTGTCAGTCTGCAAGAGTGTGTTATACCAAACAGGGAGGGGCCTTCATACCGCCCGTTACCTAATCTACACAGGGTGTGTGTTCAGATATGAGACACTATTCTGAGGAAAATAATAAGATGAATATGTTAATAGGTGGGGATGTGAGCCTGCAGCAATAGGGCGGGCTTCTCAAAAACATTTGAGGCTTTCATATTGGTCTGATGGGACGAAAAGACACTGAGATGTGGCAGGTGCATGCGGCTGTTCTGAAAACAACAGGAAATGAGTTACTGTAGCTGGTCGCTGATTTGTCTCGCTCACCAATAAGATCTGCAGCAGCAGCAGCAGCTCTTAAAGGCAATTACAGTGCTTTAAAACCCTTGGAGCCTGATTGGAGCAATTTGCATCTCCTTCTGTGAGTCATATAACTCAGTGAGATCTAAAAACACAGACATGATTATGCATATTTTTGGATTCAGTGTGACTTACATATCTATATCGCTGATGCCCATCACACACAAACATCTATAAATCACCCTAAGAATTGTTAAAAGATGCCTCTTACAACCCCAGAATTTGCCTGAAAATCATCCTGTTATTTTAAGTTTCCTTTAATATCAAAGTAATCCAGTTATAGCTTTCTGTACCTCCAAAGGTATGTTGCAATCAGAAACTACTGATGCACTATTTTCAACATAAATTAAATGGTACCAAAATGGTAACAAATGTTATACACGGAGCTTAGTTGTAGCTCATAGCATAAAAGCTGTTAACATCCCCAAAAGCATCATGGGAACTGTAGTTCCATGTTGAGCGTCAGTTAAAGTGACTTTTTTCTGTCTGAGGGGGGTAGCACAGTGTCAGATTTAAAAAAGATCTAGTCTAATGCGTGTTTCACAAAAATAAGAACTGACTTATTAAAAGCCTAAGAAGTTATACAAGCTATATTTAAATTACAAGCAATGTTTCCATGGTTACAATTTGTGACACTTGTCCTTTAAGTCTTAATATACCCCAAATCCCTGGAAAATGAGTCCTTCTTAAGTCTATCTTAAAACCAGCAGCAGTTCTATGATATCGGTTGCTTGCATGCATAGAAAAGGGTGTTTGCAAGGCGTTCATTTGCACATCCTTACAAACTACAAGAGCATTTATCTTAGTAGGAAGTGGACAGCGGTTGGAAGTCCTAAGCCTCATCTCAAAGATTTGTTCATGTTCGTGAGAATTACCCGAGTAAATTGGTGATCAAACCACCTGCTTCCTACTGTACTGCCTCTGAACAGCGTCTGAAAAGATTCCTGTCAGGGGAACGAGTGCTTCTGCATTCCAGAGAAATAAAGGCGCTTTATATTGCAGAGAAAGCCATTCTTCCGTCTCTATTGCAGCAAGTTGCCACAGTCTGGGGGCTTTCTGTCAATGATTTCCATATATAGAACCCAGGAGGAGCTCTGCCGGCTGAGAGAGGTGTCGCAGCTCCGAGTGCCAGAGTTCTGCAGGACGAAGTCATTAAGCTGTCACTTAAGATTACATGCTGCCCCCGTGATTACTCACATCACTGCCTCCACGAACAAGAGGCAACAGTCAGGCACGGATGCTGAGTGCATTTATAGCGGGCGGCCGTTTAATTGATCTGATCTCAGGTAGGGCTGCTCGATTATGGCAAAAATCATAATCTCGATTATTTGGGTCAATAATTGATATCACGATTATTAAAAACGATTATCCATTTACTTTGAAAACATCCATTTATTTTTCGGAGACAAAAAATATGAACAGTATGTTTTTAACAGTTGATTAGCCTGAACTTTAAGCANTT